TATTTAATACTATATGATACGGGCTATGTATAGTATACATGTGAGTGTGTGTTATGAAAATGAAAAAGGAAATAAAAAATAATTATTAAAAAAAACATTTAGACCCACTTAAAAAGCTATACTCCAAAGCAATGTTTCCCAACTTTAAAAAGTGTGGATTTCAACACATGAACTCACAAAGTTGTGTAAGTCATGTTATTCTATTTGAATAACAGAATAAAACTTAGAAGGGACTTTGGGGAGGGGGACAGACCCAATATCATTTCACAGAAATGGCTGTCCAGTGTTTTCTAAAAAACTTCCAGTGATAAGCACCCAGAACTTCTGGAGACAAGCAGTTCCACTGGTTAATTGTTCCCACTGTCAGGAAGTTTCTCCTTAGTTTTAGGTTACTTCTCTCTTTGTTTAGTTTCCATCCATTGCTTTTTGTTTTGCCTTCTGCTGGTTTGGAAAATGCATTGCCCCCCCCTTCTTCGTGGCAGCCCCTCAAAAGCCTGTTTTGTGACCTGCCTGTCACACTCTTGGGCAAAGCATGTAAGCCATTTCCTCCTTTCAGTGGTTCATGAAAGTACATCTATAATATGTAGATGCAGATAATAAAGTCGAAAAAATGTGAACAACATTTTTAGAGAACTATAGATACGTTGAGGCCAGGGATGACAAGGAGTGGCTGGGAGGGGAGGGGAGGAGCGAGGCACCCCTTGGCGTGAGTAATGTTGAGTTGGCCATGCCCACCCAGTCACATGGCCTCCCAGACACGCCCGTCCAGTCACATGACCACCCAGTCACACCTGCCCACCCAGCCATTAGGGCAGAGAACTGGTTGTTAAAAAATTTGAATCCCACCACTGGCTATCTCATTCATGGGCAAAGGACAAACTGAAGATGGAGTCCTGGGGGCATGGCAGAAAATAGATATTATCAAGGCATCTTGCTATCCTTTATCCAAGGAGGGAAACAGTTGGCATCTCCCATACTGCTCTGTTCTTCCAAGTCTTACCCAGGACGATTTCCTTCTACGTTATGCTTTTGGACAATATCTTTTCAAATCATTTTTTCACAAAAGGAATGCACCAACTTATTTCTACCAATGGTACAGTGTTTAATAACACAATCCGTTTCTATTGTTATGCTGTTACAAGCCTGGCACTAGAAGGCGTTTGCTATACCTAGTTGTTTGGACTTTGGAGATAATTGTCTCTCCAACTGCAACCTTCCTTTGGAAATTGGAGCTACATAACATTGGGAGAAACTCCACTGAGAGTACAGAATGTAAAATGTGTTTGATGTTCTCATCTTAGCACTTCCGGAAGCGTCTTGCTCTTTTCTGGGCACGCAGTCAAGAATGACTGAACTTGTGTATCCAAAAGGACTTTGGAAAAGAGCCAAAGTGCATTTTAGATATGTAGATATGACTGAAAACTAACCAGTTGCAGCTGTCAATAAATTAGGAGTGTGGCTGAGAACACTAGCTCGAAACTTTAGACTAAAATTTTTGAAATGACGCAGGAAAAGTAATACAATCTGGAAGCCAAGGTTAAAGTTCTAAAAATACTGTGGTTGAACAAATTGAATTGATCCCCAGCATCAATTTTTGTTCTCTGTTTTTAATCTGACTCTTATAAAAATATGTTTATTAATACACAATGCTTTTATAAGATTTATGTCGAAAGAGACTCTGTCATGTAGCACTGTTCAAGTGTTATGAAAAGTTGGGAAATCTCTTTGTAAGTGATTTATGAAGTTTTAGTACATTCTTCTTGGAAATGTGGGATGGACCATATTGAATCTTAATTTTGCTGTTTTAAGAGACAGCAAAAATAACCAATTTTCCATTCCATTTTTCCTTCAAACAAAAATAGTTTAGTTTACTAACAACATTTTTCAAAGCAAGGAATTAAGTGCTCTGTACAAGATAAACTAAGATATAATCAGAATACAGGCTCATAAACCCTCTCCTTTTGAAATGCAATATGCGTACATGCAACTATTAAGAACGAGGAAAATCCAAAATTTACTTTGATGGTGGCTTGCTCAAACTATAATATAAACTTCTAACTATAGAAGTTAGAACTAGGTAAGAAATTATAGAGCTAACTAACTATAATTTAGAAGGATTTTTTTCCCCTCAGAAGACAAGTGATACCTGTATAGTGCCTATTATTTTCGTAAATGTTGTTCAAGAATTGTTGAGGAGGGATTGGTGGTGGGGAGATACTGGCAAATGTTTCCTTCACAATCTGTCAAGACTCCTTTATGGCCTAAAGTCTGCTAGGATTTATCCAAAAATCATTAAATTTTGTCTAAAACAATGTTTTTCTTAAAAAGCAACAACAGAATTTTAAATCCCTGTGCCTTCTTCTCTGAAAATGGACAGGTTCCATTTCCTTGGAATAGGATTCAATCTGATGAAGTTTTGCTGAAAAGTTTAACCAATCCATGAAGTTTTGGGCAATGAACTGTTAAGTCAACCTCCATGTTAGCAAAAACAGAAGAAGCAGAACCCCTATCATATTAATCCGTTCATCTTGAAATAGATTGAATGAAAATTGACTTCTTGAAGTTGCCTGTTTACATTTAGAAACAAGCTGAATCACCAAGACTGAGAATCTCCCTACCTCCTTCCCTCCCCTCCCTCCCTCTCTCCCCTCCCTCCCTCCCTCTCTCTCTCTTTCTCTCTCTCTCTGAAAAATCAATCTCACTGAGAAAATCCATCATGAAGGAAAGAGAACTGTTGAGAATAATCTTATTATTTCTTATTATTATAAAGAAAGAACTGAGATGGCACAGTGATTAGAATGCAGTACTGCAGGCTACCTGAGGTGACTGCTCGCTGCAGTTCGGCAGTTCAAATCTCACCGGCTCAAGGTTGACTCAGCCTTCCATCTTCCTGAGGTGGGTAAAATGAGGACCCAGATTGTTGGGGGCAATATGCTGACATCTTAAACTGCTTAGAGGGGGCTTTAAAAGCATTATGATGCGGTATATAAGTCTAAGTGCTATTGCTATTAATATTGCAATTGTACAATATTTAAGTTGTGTATAGAAAACACATGAAGACATCACCAGAAGACTAAGAAGAAATGGCTTTGGGGCTCTGTTAATGAACATGTGCTCTGGTTAGGAGCAAGAGACAGAGGAGGGGAACCTTACATAAACTGAAGAATCAAAACACTGCTACAAGTGGCATTCAGGTTTTTTTCCTCCCATTTGAACTGGAATCTAGGAGGAATGAGAGGCAATTCATAGCCACAAAAGAACTAAAGTGTAAAATGGGGAGAAGTCTTCCCTTATTGTTAGGTGGGTTCCTGATGTAATACCTCAAAGAAATTAGATGGCTGCTAGCAACACATGTACATGTGACCTACAAGCCGTTTTGCCTTGACTACAGGACTTCTCTGCTGAGGGGATCCTATGTTTTGAACCCCACGCACCAGGGCTTATCCCAGTGGTGAAATTCAATTTTTTTACTACCAGTTCTGTGGGCGTGGCTTGGTGGCCATGGCAGGGGAAGGATACTGCAAAGTCCCCATTCCCACCCCACTCTAGGGGAAGGATACTGCAAAGTCCCCATTCACACCCCACTCCAGGGGAAGGATACTGCAAAGTCCCCATTCACACCCCACTCTAGGGGGAGGATACTGCAAGTCCTCATTCCCACTCCACTCCAGGGGAAGGATACTGCTAAGTCCCCATTCACACCCCACTCCGGGATAAGGATACTGCAAAGTCCCCATTCCCACCCCACTCCAGGAAAAGGATACTGCAAAATCCCCATTCCCACCCCATTCTAGGGGAAGGATACTGCAAGTCCCCATTCACACCCCACTCTAGGGAGAGGATACTGCAAGTCCTCATTCCCACTCCACTCCAAGGGAATGATACTGCAAAGTCCCCATTCACACCCCATTCCGGGATAAGGATACTGCAAAGTCCCCATTCCCACCCCACACCAGGAGAAGGATACTGCAAAATCCCCATTCCCACCCCATTTTGGGTCCAGCCAAGGGGTATTTGCCAGTTCTCCGAACTACTCAAAATTTTCACTACCGGTTCTCCAGAACCTGTCAGATCCTGCTGAATTTCACCCCTGGCTTAGTTTGTGGTTTTATATGAACACTTTTTCTAAATAAATGGCAAGAGTTATTTTTACAGAATACTTTCTTTAAGATGCAACACTAAAATTTTTTAGTCATTGTTGCAGTTATAGCATTTGCCCTCTGGAATAACATTGGTCTCCTCCCCAAGATCTGTTTGGCTCCCATTTTGATTGTATTTATATGAGTCCTTAAGCTCTGGCTCTTTTCCCAGACCTTGGGCTAGGGCGGGTGGTGGGCCCCTGGAGGGTTGCTTGATTTGTGAGATGATGGTTTGTTTCCTCCAGACACCCTCTGTCTATTGTGTGGGTTTTACTTTAAATTTAGTGTATCGTACACTAGGTTGTAATGGAATAACATTACATTTTACAAATTAAATTAAAGTCTGTACCTCCGAAAAATGCACTGGAAGGCTTTGTCCATTTTCCTTGGCAACGGACTGCATAATGTTCAGGGCCTTCTTGGCTTTTTTGCGAGTGATCAGCCACCGTGGAGATTCAGGGACCACCCTGCAAAAAGGAGGGACCAATGAGGAAGAGTCTGCAGCTGTCAACAGATTAGATTTATTGCCTGCAAGAATGCCAAAACCTCATCAGCATCTTAATGAGTTCTTAAGCCTTTCAGTTCTATCCTGGCACTCTGAGTTTCTTTCTCCCTCCTGAAAATTTCTTTTGTTGGTGAAAATGACTCTTCTAAATCTGGTCACTTCGGCCCCCTCTTCTGCTTTTTTGGAATATCCTTCCAAAAGTGTTCATACTCTTGTGTTAGTTTGGTTGAGATTGTTAATTATATTTTGGATTTTTCCCCCTTTTCCTGAGACACCAACATAGCTACTATTACTTTTTATGACCCAATAAATGATATTTATTTATTTACAGAGCTGTGGTGGTGCAGTAGTTAGAGTGCAGTACTGTAGCTACTTCTGCTGACTGCTGCTGCCTGCAGTTTGGCAGTTCGAGTCTCACCAAGCTCAAGATTGACTCAGCCTTCCATTCTTCTGAGGTGGGTAAAATGAGGACCCAGATTGTTGGGGAAAATATGCTGACTCTGTAAACTGTTTAGAGAGGGCGTTAAACAGGGATGGGTTCCTGCCAGTTCTATCCTCTTCTATAGAAGAGGTTCCACAAATCTACAGTGCCATTTAGAACCGGTTCCAGCTCCCTCCCCCCCACCCGTCCATACCACGCTTGCCCGGCCCACCGCTCACTGATTGGCTGGCTCACCAATCGCCCCACCCACCTCTAAGAGTCCTAGCTAAATCTTAAAGTCTTAAAGCTGTAAGTTTGAACACCCTGGGTTTTTTTTCTAAAGCATTAGGGGTGCAAGGGTCTTGTAAGTTGACAGTTTTAAGACTTGCATACTTCAGTGACAGAGTTCCTGAGCCAACATGACTGGAGGAGGAATTCTGGGAGTTGAAGTTCACAAGTCTTAAAGCTGTCAAGTTTGAACACTCCTGAGGGGTTTTTTTTCTAAAAAATTAGGGGTGCAAGGGTCTTGTAACTTGACAGCTTTAAGACATGCGGGCTTCAAATGCCAGAGTTTCTGAGCCAACATTTTGGTTGCTAAGCAAGAGCGTTGTTAAGTGAGTTTCACCATATTTTACAAGTTGGCCACGTCCACCCAGTCACATGATTGCCAAGCCACTTCCACCCAGTCACATGGCTGGCAAGCCACTCCCATCTGGTCACATGGCCAGCAAGCCACTCCCACAAAGCCGGCCACACTTACAGAAGAGGTTCTAAAAAAATTTGAAACCCACCACTGGCTTTAAAGCACTGTGAAGTGGTATATAAGTCTAAGTGCTATTGGTATTGGTGAAGGAGACAAGAGATCAAGCACATTTGAATTATGTGAAACTGATGGATCTAATCATGCCAACAGTAATCTAGAAGTTCATATTGATTATTAGGTGACTTATACCCATTATTTGAAGGTTCTGAAATTCAACGTAGGGTTTACAAACATTTTATAATCAACAAGTTTGATTATACACAATCAAGTTGATGTCAAGTCCTTGTGATCATATAAATCAGTGATGGCTAACCTTTTTCCCATTGTGTGCCAAAAGCAGGGGGAGTGCAGGGGGGGTGTCATGTGCGGGAGTGCCCACACCCATAATGCTATGCACGCAACCCCCATGCTCATGTACGTGACCCCCCATGTGCATGCGTGTGCGACCCCCTCCCTCCCGCTTTTGGTGCACAATGGACCCATTTTTCTCCCTCTCCAGGCTCCAGAGGCTTTCTAGGAGCCTGGGGAGGGCAAAAATAGTCTCCTCTGCTCCTCCTCTCCAGAGGGCAAAAAAACAGCCCTAAGGGCAACCTGGAAGTTTGGGAATGGAACACGTGTGCCATAGGTTCGCCATCATGGATATAGATAGATTTTTAGGACAATTTGTTCCAAGCCTGGTCTTTCATGTCTTCCAACACTTCACCTATCGTCATTGTAATTGAATCCACCTTCCCTGCTGTTGATCCTCATCTTCTTTTTCTCTTTCCTTCTACCTTTCCCAACATGAGAACTTTCTCCAGAGTGTCAGGTCTTTACAGAATGTGTCAGAGGTTTGAAAATTTAAGCCTTTTTTGTGCCTCAAGTAAGATCCTGGATTGATTTGTTTGATGATCGTTGCCCATGCTATTCTTAGGAGCTTATCCTAATACCAATGTCCAAAAGCATAAACCTTCTTTCTCTCCTGCTTCTTCACAGTCTCGATTTCACTTCCATGGAAGAAAATGGGGGGGGGGGATTGTTTCCATGTTTTTAATTCTGTGGGTATAAAATACATCCCAGCACCTGAATATCTTTTCCAAGGCTTTTTTTGCTGCTATATCAATTGCTAATCTGCAGCATATTTCTTAACTGCTAGTTCTTTTCCTCCTGTTAGACAATCTTAGAAGATAGAAGATATTCACCACTTCAGTAGCTTTACTGTAAATCTTAAACCTGATTGCCTTTCTTGTCATTAATTTGGCTTTCTTTATATTTAAATGTACTCCTATTTTTCACTATGTATTTGGACTATTTTAAATTTAATAACTGAATGCTTTAATTATCTTACTATTAAAAACTGCAATTATATTAATAGAATATAGTCAGGGCATGGTAAGGATGATGACTTGTGACTGTTCATTAATAATGATTCATTATTTTTATAGATTTCAAACTTATATAAATTAATAATCTATATAATAACTCCAAAATATAGGTCAGTATTATTGTTGCACCCATGATGTAGACGTCATAAGAGCTTATCTAAGTTCAGCTTTAATGAATGACTGAGATTCAGACAGAGAAACACAAGAATGGTTCTCGGTTTACTAAATAACTCATATTAGCTTTCCTCCATCTAGTGCCATTAATAAATGTTGCATCATTAGTACTCATACTTTTTGGATGTGCTTCTCTGAAGATAAAGAGTTCAACTTCTAGAAAAGACTAAGTTGGGAAAGGTTCTTTTGCAAAAAAACCAGCTGCTATTTGTATTAAATAGAACTCACGAATGCATCAGAAGATAATTTTGGGGGTGGGGAGAAAAAGGAAAGTAATGGCAGTTACCAGTAATATAACAGGAAAAGAAAGTTGGGAAGTGTGGTAACTAGTTGAATCCCCTGCCATGTGGGAATCACATAAGCAATTCCAGGAAGAATCACAACTCCGAGCGTGAAGAACATCTGTATTACAATTCCAACGACCCGTCGGTGATCTGAACCAACCAGCTCTGTTACTAAATTGACAAAAAGACAAACAAAAACTTTGAAAGATAACAAGAGATCTATTATAAAAAGCATAGCTGGAGTAATAGCACATTTTCCCAGTGTCTTATGCCAGCAGTCTCCAACCTTTCTGGCTTGGTGGCTGGGGTGGTGGTGGAGAGGGGAACTGGCCTGCAAGTGGTGGGCTGGCATTCCCATGTGCACCAGTGGTGGGTTTCAAATTTTTTTACTACCAGTTCTGTGGGCATGGCTTGGGTGGCATGGCAGGGGAAGGATACTGCAAAATCCCCATTTCCTCCCAATCAGCTTGGACTCGGGAGGTAGAGAATAGATGGGGGCGAGGTCAATCAGAGGTGGTATTAACCAGTTCTCTGAACTACTCAAAATTTCCGCTACAGGTTCTCCAGAACTGGTCAGAATCTCAGGTCTGCACATGTGCATCAGCCTGCCACTCGCACAAGTCAAACTCTGCTTCCAGCAAGAAAAAAAAAAAAAAGGAAACCATCCTTCATCAGAATGATTCCATAGCAAATTCTACCATAAAATCCAATTCAATAAAGCTCATTCAGTAAAGCTATTCAACTTCTTTATGTTGCTCTGGCTGCATTGGGAAAGAACTGAAAACACACCATGCCTTACCCAGTACAAAGCTTGTCATCCAGGTTCCCTTTCCAAAGATCCCTTGTAGAAAGCGAAATATTGAAAATACAATAATGTTTGGTGCAAAAGCTACTATTAGGCCACATAGTCCTGCCCCAAAGGAAGAAAAGAGATAAATGGTGATTCTGCCAAATCTGTCAAGGGAAGCAAAACAAATGAATAAATAAAGAAGAAATGGAGCCAAGAGGAGAAAAACATAACTTTGAAAAACTCTAGTGAAATTTCTCTTCTTCTCCCAGATTATAGACACTCTACTACGTTTGCCCAGATACATTCAATTACAAGCTCCATGAACTTCAATCAGCATCGTTCATTGGTAGTCCCCTTATTAGATTAATTTAGGTTGTTTAATGAAACTATTTGGGAATATCTTCTGCATAAACATGTGCAGGATAGTGTTACTACTATAGAGCTAGATCTTCTAAATATGAATAATTCTTAGTTGAATGCTAAGGTATCTCACACCAGTTCAACTCCTTCCACGTATTAATTACTGTAACATCCTGAGTATGTGCATGTCTGTGGAAGAGATCAGATGTTTCTCCACTGATTGTACTAGTGAAGAGAAGTGCCTTAAAGTTACTACTCTTTTAAACAATAAGAAGTTGAAGATTAGGAATGTGAAAATTACTCCCTTCTTCTACCTATGAATGATTGTAATTAACAATGTCTATTTATCATACAAGGAAAACAGGGGGTTGGAGGTTTTTATCCTTTAGTAATGATTTAATCAAATACTCAAAAGTGTTCAGTATATTTTGGACTATTAATTTTGTTGTTGCTTAAAGATTCTTAAGGGTTCAAAATTATGACTTGGAACTCCTGTACATGATGAAAACACTGTCAGGAGTCACATAATGACTAAAAGCCTGCCAGACATTGGTTGAATGACTTTTCCTGCCACATGCTATGACAGCTGATAGATTTCAAACTCCCTAAGAAAACTTAATTTTGGGTGTATGTTTTCTTTTTCTGGGGAAAAAACTATAGTTGCCGATACATATTTGGACAATTTTTTTAATTGGGAAATCTAGGGGCAAAGCAATATTTTTTGCCCTTTTTGTTACCTTTTGGTAGCCCACATTTCTTAGATCAGGGAAGGTTTTGGTACAAGAGAGGCTGGACTAGACTGAAAGTGGACAAAACTTTGACAAAAGTTTATGCGGCATCGTAATCTTGCATAATTCTAGTCATCTGTATTAAAATACTTGTAGCTGTTGGAACAAGAGTCAGAAATTGCAGGCAATCTGCTTTATATCAGAACTGGCCTCCAGAGTGTGGAAGTCTCTGTCCATCAGTAGAATCAAAGGTGGGCAACTATGACCCCTTTATAATCTGTGCACTTCACCTCCCAGCTATATGTAAAGGGGCCATAGTTGTCCAACCTTGACTAGGATAGTGCTTTGATACTTTGGTTTTTTTTAGCGAATTACAATGGACAGAAACCACACTTTTCCATATTTGAACAATAAAGAAAAAGCATGTTTTGTTGCAAAACATGAATGCAAGTTTCCAATATTCTTTCCTCATGTGAGAATGAAGAAGGGTGAAAGGAGCATGCAGTACATACAGGTAATTCTCGACTTGCAACCATTTGTTTAATGAGCATTCAAAGTTACAATAATGCACTGAAAATAAGTAAATTATGACTGTTTTTCACACTTATGGCCATTGCAGTATCCCCATGGTCATGTGATCAAAATTTAAAAGCTTGGTAATGTTTATGGCGTATTTATGATGACTGCTGTGAAGCAAAGTCAATGGGGAAGCCAGCTTCACATAACAACAATGTTACTAACTTGACAACTGCATGGTTCTCTTAACAACTGTGGCAACAAAGGCCATAAAATGGGGCAAAACTTACTTATTGTCTCACTTAGTAAACAGACATTTTGGGCTCGATTACGGTCATAAATCGAAGACTACCTGTAAAGTATTTCACCCTCCATCTACATAATGCATGACATAGCCTTATTTGTCATGGAAGAGAAAGCAGTCCATAGGTAAGTGTTCAAAAGGCATTGTTACCTGTCTGCAGCGTATCCCAGAACAAACCCTCCTACCAGAAATCCCATATTGAGTATAGACTGAGTCATGTCTATTATCCACTTGTTCTCACAGACAAGGTCATACTGCAGAAGGAAGCGTACAAAATACAATAAGTTTCGGTAGAGGAACAATGAATTTTAGGCCTTGAAAAAAATAATAGTGTTATTGTTGTTTATGTATTTAATGGTCCTCTCTTCCCTCCCCCACTCCCTTCTTTCTTAGAGATGAACAGTTGTCATCCAGTCATCATACTGGACCCATGTGCTTCAATACATGCATTGTTTTATAAAGTGATGTTCCAGTCTTCCAATATATGGTGGCGCAGTGGTTAGAATGCAGTACTGCAGGCTATTTCTGCTAACTGCTGGCTTCCTGCAATTTGGCAGATCGAATCTCACCAGGTTTAAGGTTGACTCAGCCTTTCATCCTTCCAAGGTTTGTAAAATGAAGACCCAGATTGTTGGAGGAAATATGCTGACGCTATAAACCACTGTGAAGCAGTATATAAATCTAAGTGCTATTGCTATACGAGAGAGGGAAGAGAGTAAATTAAAAAAAGATACCATATTTTTCAGAGTATAAGATGCACCTTCCCCTCCCCCCAAAAAGGGTGAAAATCTGGGTGCATCTTATACACCGAATACAGCATTTATGGCTTCCTTTGCAAAAATGTATGTGCAGAGGGCTTGGGAGGCTTGCAAAGTGCTCCTGGGGGCTGGGGAGGGCAAAAACGAGCAAAACACGGGCCATTTTTGCCTCCCAGCCCCCAGGAGCACTCTACAAGCCTCCCAAAGCTCTGCATGACCTTTTTTCTTTTTTCTTTTTGCAAAAAATGAAGCACGCAGAGGGTTGGGAGGACTGCAGAGTGCAAAAACTTTTTTTAAAAATGTACCTCTTCAAAATCATGGTGCGTCTTATACTCCGGTGTGTCTTATAGTCTGAAAAATATGGTAATTAAGAATGCACTACCAGTGATAATACCCAGTTGAAATTAACATCTAAAAAGGATTTTCCTGGTCTCTTAAAGCCATACCAGAGTCATTGATGGTTGATGCATGAGCAGGGACATGAGTCAAGGGCTGAGTACATTCATGCCTGTCACACAGAATAGAATAGAATTCTATTCCATTCCATTCTATTCAACAGGCATGAATTGTATACACAGTATTCCATATACAGACCTCCTGACTCAAAAAGCCTCTATGCAGTAATCTCAGTGCATTTGAGATTAAATAATTTTTCATTGCGTTAAAATTAAGCCAATGACTTTGTTAGATCAATATAAGATGACAGTATGCAAACTGCATGCTGCAGACCCAAAGAAGATATGCACCATCACCATACGCTTATTTTGGTTCCTCCAAATATAGAAAATTGCAGAGCTCAAAATCAACATTTCTGCTATCAGTAATGGACATTACAATCCAAGGGTGAAAATGTAGGGCTGGAAGATCACCTGTATGCAGTACATTGTTTATCTTTATGATACAGAGTAATAGAGAAGCTGCATTAAGGGAAACGGATGGTGTAGTTGACAAGCCAGGAATACGTGTTGCAATAATTCCTCTTTTCTCACAAATGTTTCTTGCCTCTTATTTGGAAAAATGGGGAAACAACTGATATATTCCAGGAGGCTGGATCTGAGCTCAGGATTTGATGCAATGTCCTGGGAGAGTTATATCCTGAAAAAATTCTCAGGATTTTTATGTTGTTTTATTTTATAAAGTCACCTAACTTTCTGATTTTTCAATGAATGTCAATAAAGTCGGGTAGTGGGATTATGTCAATGAATCATTATGAAGTCATAAAACATTCATAATAGCATTTTTACAGGAAAAGAAAATGAGTAATGTCCAGCATATCATGCAAATTAATTTAATTACAACTATCTGCTATGCTGGCATTAGCTACCTGGAGTTGTGACTGTGGTCTGTGTTTTATATTTTAATGTAAGGTGTGTGTAATGAGGACTCCCTAAAATAAACTAGCAAAAAAAGAGGGCAGGATGTATTGGCCATTGACAGCATCACCAGAATTGCCGGGCTATGTCAGATTTACTTCCTAATTTGATCTTCTTAAACTACGATTTAAGCAGGCTTTCCTCCTCTTTTCTCTAGTATGAATATCAGTAGCCATAAATCACTGAGAAAGAGACCAAAATTAGGACAACGTGGAATTATGCTGACAGTTTTTGAATCCTCCCTAGCAGAGAGTTTATTCCATTAAAAAAATCAATATTGAGATGAACTTTGGTTGCATGAGCTAAACTGAAACTTTAAAAAAAAGACTCATAAAGAGGAAATCCTATTGGTGCATAATAACTGACCCCTTGCTTTACTAGAGATGTTTATTTAGGTCAGGGTTAGGGCTGCTGTCAAAAGCCAAGTCCCTGAGCCTAAGTGCCTGAAATGCCAGTTCAGTTCCAGTCGTTTTCCAGGAATTTCAGGGAAGGATGCCCACGTACAATTTTGTGAAATAATACAGGAGCTAAATAAGTGAATGATCTGGTTTAAGTTAAGGTGGCTGATCTTTCTAATGCTAATAGAACAGCTTTCCTGATTTCATAGCCTCAAAATGATCTTTAGTCCATAATAGGATTGGTGCTGATGGCCTTCTGTTCAATGTATATTTGATCAGTTAAATTTATTTTTAAATATGAAGAGTTTGACTCAGAGACAATTGTGTTTAATTATTTTAATATTCCATTACTCTTATTCTGTTTGTCAGAGCTGCCATCTTTCACTTACACGTATGCTTCACTAGATGCCAGCCTGCCTAAAACATGATGGGAGGGAGCTGTGGGAAGATGGGGGGGGGGGGAAACCGAAAGTGATCTTCGTGCTGTTGCGAGATATCCCAAGGCCGCAGACCTGGGAATAGATTGCAATGCCTAACCATCTCTATCCAACTGTTGCAGGGACAATTCGCAAAACATCTTTTTCTAATATGACTAGATAATGCAGAGATAACAAGGGGTTGGAATGGAGAGGGGAAAGTTAACTAGTGAATTATATCCAGCTTTGCTACTAATAGCAAATGGCTTTTAGTAAAAGTAACCTTTTCACTATGAATGGAATCGAGGGTGTTTCTTTCCTGAGACCAAGCTGGGACAGGTCTGACACCGTCTCAGTATCTGGGGACTGTAAGGGTCTGCATGAGGAAGAAGAGGCTGTGGTCCAGCCTGGCCAAGAGGGAATGTTTATGTATCCCCTGGATTTGGAATCTAAAGTGTTCTCACTTTTGATTCTAAATGGGCAGTGCCCCATTAAGATTTGATGCACGATCTGAACTCATACTGGACTTACAATTTATGCTTGAAGAATAGGTTGCATCTATGATGGGGAAGGGACTTTGCAAAATTTCTTCTTGTATACCAGTTGTGCTCATTTTGAGCCTGGGAGGCTCTGTTCATGGCCACTCATGACTTTCTCATCTCCTGACTGGATTATTGCCACATGCTGTACTTGGGGCTACTCCTGAAGACCATCTGAAAAGCTTTAGTAAGTCCAGAAGGCAGGATGTAGATAGTTATGGGTACATAAGTACTTGAAGGACTGCCTTTCCAAGAACATCTGCCTGTTTCATTGGGAGGGTATGCTCCAGGTTCCTTCTGTTAAACTTTGTCATCTTATGGAACCTAGGAAGCATGCATTTACAGTGGTTGTTTTTCAAATTACAAATGAGATTAGTGGAAATGCATACTTTACACAGTAGCTTCCTGCAATTTTCTTTCTACTTACTATTTCTTTTATGACTGCATTGGTTTTTGGTTTTGTATGGTGCAGATGGGGTTTATTTTGGATGTTGTTTATAAATCATTTCTTTTCATTATTTTGTTAGTCCATTATGTTTTTAGACATTTTGTGAAGTCTCTGCCTAAGAGGAAGATATGGTAAATAGCGTATAGACTGCCATGGTTTCTTCTTGCTTCTCATGAGAATCCTATGAGCACCAGTCATAGCTGGGCAGGCCAATAGCTGCTATTTCTAATTTTAAAAAAATGAGAGTCATTGCTTTTTTATCACCCTGTGGTTTGGCTTGTAGCCCAATGTTCTGTGCAATCTGATACAAGCCTACTTAAAAGTAAACGCCAATGCATTCAGTTAGACTAACTTTTGAGGTCACAAGAGTGTAACAGTATGTGGGAAAGACCTTGAGAAATTGGGCCAAGAAATGCTGCCAAGGAAACGGTCAGATAAGAGACAGCATAGCCCAACATTTGTAGAGTGGGTGGGGCAAGAGGCTTAAGAAGAGCTCCTCCCACTCAGACTGTAAAGGAGACAAAGGAGAGGATTGTACTTTCAGGGTTGCAAGATTCTGTCAATGCAGCTTTAAATAAAATAGAATTAGCTTATCTGGCTGTGATTCCTACACATAAAGCCGGCATAAGGTTGCAGCTTCATAATATAATCTGAAGGCTCTGCCCTAGTTACTTGAACTCTGTGCTGCAATTTTAGTAGTCTGGGAATCTCCTGAGTTAATGGCCATCCATAAACAGCAAATGAGCTTCCATCATAGCTCATATGAGCAGTCCCTCTTTTCTCTTATATTACTTCCCCTCCATTTTACATCTGATTGTGTATTTCCTGACACTCAAAAGCTGTTTCACGATTTTTTGACTTTCAGTCCATGTCGAACAACTGAGCTGCTGCTATAAAATTCATTTTGCCTAAATTGCCTAGGTAGTTTTAAGTGATAGTTTATGCTACGCACACTAGTTATGTCTTGAAAATGCATTGATTGAGATACCAGCTATTGCTTCCTCCTTTCTTCCCACCTCGTATTTTTTGCCAAGGTTGCACTAAAATAAATGGCACTGAACTGCCCTGAAATTAGGTGGGAATTTTAAAACTGAAACAAAATGGCTTTAGTTTAGCTAAGGCCAGCTGTCCACTTAGCTCAATCAGTATGTTCTTCTATAAATGACAGCAGTTCTTCCAGGACTCAAGGAAAGAGATCTCACCTGTCATGTTATACGAACCTCCTCAAAGGGAGATGTTGGGGGGGAAATTATTGCCTTTGAGCTGCTCCACCAATAAAATATTTTTTTAAAAAAAATTGTATTCAAATGAGAAATTACATCTGATTTGTCTGGAGCACAAAGGCAGAATTCTGTAACTGAGACAACAGTATTGTCTGTCCTTGCAAATATGTTCAATTTTCTAAGTTGTTCTCATTCCTATATTCAAACCAACATCTATAATAGCATTTCTCCATCCTTCTCTCTGTCTCTTTCTCTGTCTCTGTCTCTCTCTTTTTCCTGATATAACTTTTTTCAAAAACGCAATGAAACAAGGCTAATATTATCCATGACACTTTTACACTGTGTAGAAAATAAAAAATGAACAGTTTAATCCAAATACCAAATCTATTTTTATACTTCACAATGTGTTACCTTATATACCATATATCTATAAAATTTATTGACTTGCATTAATAATAAACATTTGTTTAATTTTTTGTATGCAAATAAACCTATTTTTCTAGATAACATTGCCTTTACTTACCTCACTGGCAATAGTTGAGTGAGGTTTTTTGAATAACCAGCCATCCTGGCATGTAGTAAATGACTCGCCAGAAAAGTTGTTGGTAAGTTGAGCCAGTGGATACATACAATTATGCCGGGTGTTATTCCACTTTGTGTCATGCCTCTCACATTGCGAAGAGTTCAACAGGCTTGAGGCTTGAATGGTGATGTTGTATTCCTCTTCAAGCGTCCATTCACATGGCTTCTTCAGTTCAGATACAAAAGGTATCCGGCACCAATATTGCTCAGGGTCTCGTCCCAGAAATACAATCCCAACAAATAGAAAGGAGAAGGTAATGCCAGTCTGGCAGAGGAGGAAGAAGACCTTCTTTTGAAACTTTCCAAAGTCTCCAGCCTGTTTTAAAACCTCATCAAAAGACGGCATTGTAAACTCTAGTTGTCACACTCCACATACACACACACACACACTCCGGCAGTAAGTTGGATGAATCCAAATGAAAGCGGTGGTAACTTTCTTCCAACTTTGTGACTATATAAAGAGTATTTTCTATAGCTCAGACATTCTCTTTCTCTCTCTCTTTCCCAATCTCTCCCTCCCTCTCTCTCATTCTGCCTTCCTCACAAATGTCACGAAGTAATATAAGCAAAGCTGGGACAGATCAAAGTTTCATTCCCTCCTCTTTTTTTTCTTTCGTTCTGAAAGACTCACACACATCCACACATGTGCACGGGCAGCTATTATGTTACTTTGGCACAATGTGTACACAGCGCAACTTAGGATTTCACGATGAATTTGGCACACCTACAGTCCCAAAGAGGTCTATATTTTTTATTTATTTTTCCCAAGAGAGTACGTAGTATTAAAAACTCTTAACACTTTAGTGACCAACAATTAGTAAACAGGAGATTTAAAGCAGAACTGAATATTCAGCCAATATGCCCAGAAGGCAATGCCAACATGTCATATAGTAATACAAAAATTATGAAAAGAATCCATAGAAATCTATTAAGAATCTATAAAAATCAATATGTTTCCCTCCCTGCATTTAAAGACAATGAAGGGATGATGGTTTTAAGAGAAGGAGTGATGCCCAGGATAATAGTCTTAATTTAGGAGGGAAAATTAATTAAGTTTTTATACTAATTTAACCAGTTACACCAGGGGTGGGATTCAGACAGTACAGACCAGTTCAGGTGAACCAGTAGTTCCAACAACCAGTTGGTCCAACCCACCCACCCCTGATCTATTCCGTCCTATATTTCCTTCATTTGAAGCCCAACTGATCGGTGTGGCAGAGTGGATTGCCGCTTCTCAGCTGTTTTACTCACCAGGGCAGCAGGAAAAGATAAGATTTAGTGCTGATTTCAAACGCAATGTGCACAGGCGAAGCGAACTGGTTGTTACACCTGTTGAATCTCACCACTGAGTTCCACTACATAAATCTATAAACTATTGGTCAGTAATCAATATTCAAGTTCACCCCTTAAGTAGACAATTTAGACATCAAAATAAAACTCAAATACAGTAAGGTAAAATAGCTTTAATGAACTTACATAACTTGTAAGTCACCCAGTCACCCTATAGGAGCGATAGGCATAGAAATTTAATAAATAAAAAGTAAAATAATAAAAATGTGATTGTTTATTCTACAGTACTTCATTACAACTTATTCTTTCTATAAAGATCCCACCTGACATGTCACTTTTGAATTTGAATCCACACATAACATAACAATCTTCTGAGCCAACAGGGATTTTGTAAATTATAGGATTCAAAATATATTGTGAAAATGAAATGAAGAATATAGAAAAAACATGAATTAGAGTTTCAATTCCACTCCATCCACAATACCTCTCCTCTTTTTAAAAAAAAATGTATTTTAGAATTGCTGAGTGGGCCTTATTAGAATGTATCAGAGTAAATGTCATACAATATTTTATTATAAAGAGTGATTCCAACTTTCTGTCTAGGGGTTGAAAACCCTATTTCCAATTATTATATTTGTAAGAGTTCTATTGTGATCTATCTCTCTATTACTATTGATTATCTTTTCAGCAGTAGTGAAATTCAATTTTTTTTACTACTGTTCTGTGGGCGTGGCTTGGTGGGCATGACCTGGCTTGGTGGGTGTGGCTTGGTGGGCATGCCAGGGGAAGGATACTGCAAAAATCTCCATTCCCACCGTACTCTGGGACCAGCTAGAGGTGGCATTTTCCGGTTCTCCAAACTACTCAAAATTTCCACTACCGGTTCTCCAGAATCTGTCAGAACCTGCTGGATTTCAACCTTGCCTTTGAGCATTATTCTAGCCTCTTTGTATTCCAAACTCAGAAGCATCTGAGAGAGAAAACCAATCTAAGCACTTTCCAATCATAGTGAATATACATGTCCCCAAAAAATGTTGCAGGATTCCATGTGGGTCAGTCACTGGTCACTGGGTCTGGTCCTGGTGACAAATCCAGGTTGGATCTTGCAACTTTCTTTTCTACCTCCTACACCCAAGAAATCTGAAATCACCAATTAGAATTAGGTTTCTTTGTAGGCAAAAGCTCAATTAAGTAATGTTTTCTCAAAAGGTTTCTGATCAGAGTTCTGCATTTAGAGTGCAGTTCACTTCTTATATGGGCTTTGAAACTATATTGCTCCCTCAGTCTAAGTTGCCCTGCCCTGCCAAAGTTTGTTGTGAATTATTTAAGTGTAGCTGATGTATTCTGAGCAATTCTTGGTTATAAAAATGATAGTAGGTCTGGAATACTTATTTATGCTTTCTGGATAGCATTTATGAAGTGGGCTTTATAATTTCCAGTTTAGGGTCAAATAAACATTGAATGCAACTGAAACTTGCAGTTTCATCAACCATTACTATTTAAAAGTTCACATCATAAATAAATCTCTTAAGTGTTTTAAGGAGTATGAATAACAAATATTAAACTTTTGTTTTTGCAGTGTAGGAAGTTAGCACCCACCTCTCTCCTAGGAAAATGATATATTTTGGGAAATATTAAAATGACAGAATATTTCCCCTAAAAGGGAGGCAGAATTACCTTTGTCAATGGACCATTAAGGCCTGATCCAGGCTATTCTACGTAACAAAGATCTACCTCCTTCAGGCAGAGACATAGTAGGAGTTGCCCAAAACCGTTTCATTACATCATCACCCAGCAAGGCTCAACCAAGCCTGGGACTTCGGACAGCCTACAGAGTTGCTCCTGGGAGTGGCCCCATGGGAGTCTGACAACCAATCAGAATACAAGCTCAAATTCAAAAGCTCAGAGAGGATATAAAACTCAGGTACTCTCAGCATCCCTTTTTGTACCCCCAGGACCTCAAACCACGTGGTCCTGTCCATCATCAATAAACCTTCTTTCCAAGCAACTTCCATGAATCCAGTGTCTTTTCCCCCACTTAGAACTGAACCCAGATGGACATTTCTTCCAACAGCAGTTTATTAATTTGTTTATTTTTACTGTTCATTCCACAAAGTCTCTACAGTTCTAGGAAGCTCTTTAAAAAAAAATAAGATCTTTTACAATGACTTTTGTGCATAAACACAAAAAACACAAAGCAGTAGCCAAAAAAACCCAAAAAAAACCCCAAACCTCAGAACATAAATAGCAGGGAGAAATAAACAACAAAGGTCTTCCTATGAAACTGGATTGCTCGCTTCTGAAAAGTTGTTAGTCAAGTAGTGAGACATACATCCCCGAGAAGATGTTCTAAAGCTTAGGCATAGCCATCAAAATGATCCCCTTCAATATGAATCTCAAAAATGGTTGGGTGTAACAAGAGAGCTTCTGAACATGATCATATGAAATAAGCCCGTCATTAAAATATCATGGCCCTAAATCA